TTTCAAAATTAATGAGTGTGACAAATGTGTTCATGTCAAGAGCACTTAAAATGGATATGTCATGGTATGTCTATACATAGAAAGCATGTTGATTATGGGTAATGATGATACCATAATTCAAGCTACTAAAATGATGCTAACAAGTAAATTTGAAATGAAAGATTTAGGTATGACCGATGTTATATTAGGAATTAAAATTTCTAGAGCATCCGATATTTTCATATTATCTTAATCACACTACATTGAGAAAATTCTTCATAAATTCAAAAAATATGATATTATTTCTATGAAAACACATTTTGATACTAATATGAATCTTGTTTCCAACAATGGTTATAGTAAATCTCAAATGGAATACTCTCGTATTATTAGCAGTGTAATGTATGTCAAGAACTGCACTTGACTTGATATTCCTTATTTAATTAGTAGGCTAAGTTGATATACGAGCAATCCAAGCACTAATCACTATAAGGCAATTGTTAGAGTTTTGAGGCATTTGAAATGTACCAAAAACTTTAGATTGCTCTATTCGAGATATCCAACAGTGAAGAATACTGTGATACAAATTGAATATTAGATACTAAAGACTCTAAGTCAACAAGTGAATATATCTTTACACTTGTAGGTGCTGAAGTATCATGGAAGTCTTCAAAACAGACATGTATAGTTAGATCAACGATGGAATCTGAATTCGTTGCGTTAGACAAAGTTGGAGAAGAAGTCGAATGATTATGAAACTTTCTAGAAGATATTCCATATTGGATAAAACCTGTGCCTCCTATATATATCCATTGCGAGTTAATTAGCAATTGATAGGACACAAAATGTTATGTATAACGGTAAATCTTAACATATACGTCGTAGATACAATGCCGTTAGACAATTGTTCTCTACTGGCACTATCTCTATAGATTATGTAAAATCAAAAGAGAATATTGTAGATCCACTAACTAAAAAAGTTTGACAAGAGAGCACGTTGAAAGTTCATCGAAGGGGATGGGGTTAAAATCGATAAAATAATGAAGGGTTTCTATGTTGGCAACCTAAACTAGTTGACTGGAGATTCTAAGATCTAGGTTCAATGGGAAAACTATGAAAAACTTAGTATGCACTGGGGAGATTTTTACTCATAACCACTCCTATGATGAGCCACTGCCTAACTGGTGCAAAGTATGTTAAGTTACTCTTTTTAATAATTTCTATATCTTGATTTGCTCAAATGGAGTATAAAAAAATACTTTTTATGGAGATCGCCTATGTGGGTGAGAAGGTGCTGCTTCTAAGAAAGTTAGGTGAAGATAAATTCTCTAAAAAACACCCGCGAACCAGAAGGTGTCCAATGTCAAAATGGACACAAAACCAATTGTGTTCGAAAGGTGTGTGACTTCTATTGTTTAGGTTTATATGAATGGCTGACTGTTTAAAGCAACTTGTGACTAACTAGTTAAGTAAATTTGATAGATTTTACTAAGAAAAGTTCAAAGTCTTTGGATACTTATGTTAATGCAATTTTCTTCAATTTTACTTTGAAAATCATATCAAATGTTGTTGTTGTCATGTGGGGGATTGTTGGAAAATGGTTATTAATAGTGAAATGTGTCAACTTTGAGCCCAAATTTCAGTAGGTTTCATACCTTAATTTTAAAGGGACCTAGCATATTCATGTTCTACTCCGCAAGGTGATTAGCGTGATATATTTATTTATCAAAAACCTTTAAGAATTGAATGAAATATTTGAAGTCAAAATAATACACTTGAAACTATGAATTAGTGATGAATTTGACTTGTCAAACACTAGTCCCACGGAGAAAAGTTAGGAAACTTTGGTGTGATTTATATAGTGGAAGTTTGGGAATTGGGTTTGGGCACCAATGGATATCAATAGTCTTTAGAAAGGGGAGACCTATATTCTATCAAGTTCGGTTATAAGCCCACATGCAAGCGTCGTCGTCGTTATCCGGCCGGCTGGCTCAGCTCTGCACGGCATGAGTACGTGGCCGTGTTCGAGTCAAGGTTTGTGTTCGGGTGGGTCTTTGTACTATAATAATTTTTTGGACAATTTTTATTTAATTTTTGGGCAAAATTATAAATAATCAAATTCTTAGGTACTTAATGAAATTTAATTTCATTGACTTTTTTTCGGGGTAATTTTTTGGTCTATATGGTCTATTAACCGACTAAACAGTCATCCATTAATCGACCAAATAATTGACTGTTAACCGACTAAAAAATCGATCGTTAATTAACTTAACAAGTGCAGTATTGAACTAAGTTGTCTGTTCGTGTTTTGGAGGCTGTCTGAACGACGACGACTGTTCTAGAGGTGTTCGAATAGCCACGAACAAGCTTATAAATAGCATGTCCCGCTGCCAGAATAATTATATTATATAACTCTTCTCTTTTAAAAATAACATTTGGATTGGAAGGAAGGTAAAATTAGGATTGCCAATTCTTGAGCCCATTTATCAAAGTATTTTTATTTTTATTTTTATTTTTTTGAAAAAAATAAACCTTGTTAACCGATAAAAACTATGGCTGATTTTCCAGTTTTCGATTAAAATGGTCGGTTCAATGGGTTATTTACCAATTTTTTCATTTTCGGTTAATATATTAGGATCAGACCGGATTCGAGACCAGTTCTCAATTTTCCCAATTGAACTTATCAGTCCAGTCCGATTTGGTTTTCAAAACATTGCAAAATTGTCATGTAAAGAAAATTCCAAATATTCCAACATCTCTCCCACTTTTGTCACAAATGACGAAGGGCACTATATCAAATGCAATTATCATAGGTCGACAACAATATATAAGAGCCCAAAATAATTATGTGTGAGTTGCTAAAGAAGTTTGAGATATCTTATAGACCACACATGAGGGAACTAAGATTGTTAAGAACTTTAAATTACAGATGTTGACCACTAAATTTTTAAGAGATTATGATGAAGGATGATGAGACCTTCAATGACTTTTTATGCGATCTTGAATGATGTAGTTAACTCTAGTTTCAACTTAGGTGAGAGAATTACTAAGTCCAAAATTGTCAAGAAATCCTTAGATTTTTACCTAAGAGATTTAGGCCTAAAATTACGACTATCAAGGAGAGCAAACATTTAGATACAGTTAAAATTGAAGAACTTGTTGGATTTCTCCAAACTTATGAACTCACCGTATCTCAACCTAAGAAGAACAAATCTATAGATCTCTTAAGGCTTCTTCTTATTTCTAAACATTTTGCAAAATTTCTTAGCAAAATAAGCTATTGCATCATCATTAGTATTCTCTGTATCAGAAGAGTCATACTCTTCTTTCCTAACGGTGTTCAAAGCTATAGACTTGTTCTTCTTAGGTTGAGATACGGTGAGTTCATAAGTTTGGAGAAATCCAACAAGTTCTTCAATTTTAACCGTATCTAAATCATTGCAATATAGACAATAAGAACTTAAAGTATGATCCAGCCCACTAGACTCACTGATCTAACTCCTGCAATCTCCAAGACCTGCTAGAATGTGCTTTACTCACACATACTTCTGATCTTCTAGAATTGTCTATCTTATGTAGATCATCTAGAACACCTTATCCTTGTATTTTTCCTGTGCTTTTGGTCCAACCTCCCTCAATATTCAACAACCTTTGAAAGCTATTGAGAAAATACTTCCTGATTATGTTTAGAAAATGAATGTTTTGAATTATGTGATTTTGAAATTTTTTCCAACTTGTGGCTAATTGATCTCAAGATGTAAAATTATTGTTCTCTCCAGGAAATGTTATTAATGTAGAATATAATGATCAATCACCCTTTTAACGAAGTGGGGCATGGGCATATAGTAGAGAGATTTTGAGTAGTATGAGCCAGATAAAACTCTTGAAAAACGCAAATTAAGGTCTCTCAGAAAATACTATTGTTCGAACGAGAGCCCAACGACATGTGATCGATGTATGCTCCGCTCAAGCGATAGGCAAGTAGCAGGCTAGCGACAATGTCACTGTTTTGAACACTTGAGCAATAACTTAGCGGTAGGCAAGCATAATTCTGAGAACTTTTTCCTTTGTTCCATAAACGACCCCAACAACTCCTAACTCATCTGTAAGCCTCCCAACAAACTCCCAACTCTTACAACTCTTAATAATAATCTTTTTGTCTAAAGAATAGTTAATACAATTAAAACCTAACAATAAGAACTTTTAAGTGAGCCATTTGCTAATATATTGTTTGAGCCCCTTTTCTTTTCTTTCTTTCTTTTTGAAATATTGTTACGATAGAGTGTGTGGTTAAAAATTAAGGAAAAATTTTGAATTTACGTGTAATATTATTTTATTGTGTGATTAAAATAAGGCCAAATCACTATTGAAGAATGTACTTTGATGAAAAAAAATGAAGTCCAAACAAGGGCTAAGTATTTGCCTGTTCTATGTAGGACTGGGAAGTGCATGGCTGAGGAAACTCCTAAAGATTGGTCCAGGATTTTGAAACCCTATTCAAGGATAAGATGAAGAAGAAGATGATCGACAGAGTCTCAAGAAAATGTTCATAAACGATTTTGTTTATAAATAAACAAAATGTGTGATGAATAAATTAGTCCGTGAATCCCACGAACTATGTAAATAATATTAATTTGACCATTTTTTACCATTTATAAACACTTTTCAAGCATATGCTAAGACAGATATGGCGGACGAGGAGAAGCAAGAGAGAGATTACAATGAGGTTAAATGATCGGAGCCTGTTAACTATATAATTACCCCTTTCTCCCATAGGCCTCGAGGAAGAATCAACGATCATTCTCCTAGAAACGACTAAAAGTACCCAATAATTTTAAGGGGGAGAAAATCTACAGTATCTGGAAATTATTCATATAAAACCAATATATCCCATGAATACTTCTTTGCTATACAAACATTACATTTACAAAATATAGTTCTAAACTACTTGCAATAATCACATATTTGATCAAAGGGGAAACTAATCCACAACTTAAATAGTATATATATTTATATGATCAAAGGGAAAACTAATCCATATTTTATTAAGCCTTTGAAAATATAATAATAGATTCAGAGCTTCAACTTAATATTTAAAAGGATCATAACTTTCATGATCCCAAAAATTATGAGAAACGTCAACAAAACCTTCATAACAGATAATCATAACAGATGCTAATCATCAATGTCAATTCAACACAACTCCATGGAAATGCCGACTCCAAGAGGACAAGCATCTGGTTTTGAGCTCAGACCATGGCAATTCTATTTTTAAGTGACTTCAATACAGCTTTGCAAGCCAGTCTCTTGGCAGTACTTTTATCGGAAGCTGAACGTGACTCTTTGTGTACAATGCCATTGGCTTCGACCTCCACTTCAACAAATGACACCCCGTTTTCACGAATGAAAATGGGATTCTTGAAAGTGAAATGTTTTTTCTGACATAATTCTGTTAATTCTCTCACAGGATGAAGCCTCAGTGTCTCGGGTGTGATCATGGGCTCGAGAAGAGGACTTATACTTCGAAAAACAATCTCTTTGTTATACCCAGAATCAACAAAGACAGCCCCAGCAAGAGATTCTATAACATCCCCAAGCACCTGCATCATGTAATAACACACACTAACAATTAGTGCCACAAGAAAAGTAGATACAGTTTATGCAACCAAGCACACGCCTTGATCTGACAATTTGTAAGCTGGTTACCATACTTTCAGGGTAATTTGCATAATTTCAAAAAACAAAAAAAAAAAAAAAAAAAAAAAAGGAACTTCCAAGTTATTACTTAAATCTCAAAACACTCGCACATTTTACAAATTCCACATTTTGATATTTCGACAATAGACATACCAAGTAACTTTTCAGCCCTTCAAAATTTTCATCTTCCTAGGTTATTTCATTTTATCAAAATATTGTAGTCAACTCACAGATACCAACAAAAAACGTTACTTTGTGAAAGTTACAACCTTTGGGAAAGTTATCTCAGATTCCCAACCAAAAGTTGAGACCAAGGGTGTTTCCTCGGTATCGTGAACTGTCTCGATTATATGCCGGTGAAGTTCTTGTGAAGCATGAAGAATATGTTTGTGCAGTCCTGCTTTAACTGCAGATTGAGCATAGCAATCATTGTTCACAGATGCTGACCTAAGATCAGTTAGAAGACCAGGAGACAGGCCAGGATATTTGTCATACAGGTGCACCGTTATCACATAATCTAGTACCGAGTCTCCAAGAAATTCTAGACGCTGCAGAACAATATAAATTTTTAAGAAAAGAGATGAATAATGAAAAACAAATCAAATGCCCATGGAGTTTTAGAAACAACAATTGAATAATGTATCATGTGCAAGAAATGAATCTGCCCGTGGAGTTTTAGAAAGTAAAAGCATACCGAGTAATGTTCAGATCATAATATTTGTTCACACACTATCACATCTTTTCATCAATTATCACTTGACTCTAGGAACGCAAGTTCTTAGATTGTTAAATAACTTTTGATTGCAAAATACTTATTAAATGACATGTTTAGTAAGGTGGACCAAACAGTACACAAAAAGTAGTAAAGAAGAGGAAAAAATTGCATACCAAACATACAACAAGAGCACAATTCATGGCCAGAAAAGTAGGGAGCAATCAAATTAAGAAATCATAGCAAGAAAAATTAACGAAGTGTAGGAATCTTCGATACGTAATTTCTACAGCACATACCTGATAACATCTTGGAATTTCAGGTAGCATGTAAGAACCATGAGTTAGTGCTTCAACTAAATAAGAAGCATCACGAAACCGATAGTTCAGCAGAGACTCTACATATCTAACATTGACATGTGCCTCAGGATTAACAGGGAAGGGCCTTGTATAGGGCACACTAACAAAATCAACATTTATGCCCAGCCATGCCATAAAGGATAAGGCCGCTGATTCACCACCTGCACTAAGGAATGCCCCAATTAACGCTTCAACAACATCTGCAATAACCTTACTTTTTAGCTTCCTGCTCCCTTTAACATAGACTTTTCTAGATGAAAGCAACTCCTCTTCTAAACCATGGTTGGCAGAATTATCCCCAGGAATTATCCATGTTTTGGGATCGAATGGTTCATTGCGGATGAAACCCTAAAATTTACAAGTGACCAAATGAATAAAGCAATTTTTAATATTCCCCGATAGATTTTTTTTTCCCCTTTAAGGCATTAATTAAAAGAAACAAGAAGATAGAACAGAAGATATCAAGGAAAACAAAAAAATCACCAAGCACGAGGTGTAGCAACTAGCATAATGTTTGTAGGATCATAGGACATCATTTAAACGAAAATATTTTATTATTCAAGGGGACGCAGGAAAGGATTGGGAAATTAATATTGGATTTCTTGCACAACAAAATCTCTATTCATAGTGTTAAGTTAAAGAGAAACTTAAAGAGATAGAATTTTGGTCTCTTTGGGAGTCTCATCTGAATTTAATTTTAAGACCTCAACATAACCTACCTAAGAACAAAATTCATATCTGAAAATCATATGGATGTACTCTGTTGACCATCCACCTTCAAGTAAATGAGTTATGAAAAAATGAATTTTTGAAAAAATGGGGGCCAAACATAGGCTTAACAGGATAAAGCAAAATATGATTACGATTCAGTAAGATTACCGGAATTTTGCGGTCACATCCCAGCTTGCACAATGTAGCATTGGCAATTATTTTTTCTTTTCTAATACTAAGAAGCCCCTCGTGCTCTTTTTGATACATTTTGAAAACATGTTGACCTGCAGTGTATTTCAGAAAAAGAAGCCCCTCGTGCTCTTTTTGATACATTTTGAAAACATGTTGACCTGCAGTGTATTTCAGAAAAGAGTCCCCAAGGGTCTCTAATGATTCAAGATGAAGTTTTTCTTGGCATTTCTTTGTAGTGATTGCTTCCAAAACCTAACAGCGACAAACAAAATTGACATGAGACCAAGATTATGGTTGAGTTGACAGCTTCAATGATATGAAAAGGCAAACTTCTTTAAAAAAATATATAATTTATTTCACTCACTTAAATGTCAAGGCAATAATAAACAAGAAAATATATAGATGATGGAGGGGAAAAAGTAGTTCCTTTACTCTCTAGATAGATACTACCTTCATTCCTGATTAATTTCTTCATATCCATTATGGAAAAATCCAATAAAATTTCCAACTGCCAGAAATATGCATTACTCATACATACCAAATCCCCAACTACACTAGATAAATTAACCCTCCAATCTTGTAATATTCTTACACGGCTCACCAATGGTATGCAAAATACAGTGTTCTCAACTCCCTTAAATAATCTTGCAAGTCCAGCTATAACATTAAATTTAGTATATACTATATAGAGAACCATAAATAGTAAAAATACATACTCTGATGGTTGGAATATCAACATTTATTGTGCAGAGATCCATGTGCATTCTTTTCAAGTTTGAAGCCAAGAGCAAAGACTCAATCCGATGCATGACAGATGGAAGAAAGGAAAAAGAGTAAAATGTAGAAATAGATATAGGCGACATGATTATTGTACAAAGTTCAGGTGGCAGTTCGCATGATGCATTACTTGGTTCTGCATGGGAAGAGGAAAATACCAGTTAGCCATAAGCCAAAATGTGATATATCCAATTATATAGTACACAATTATCTTAGTTAACCGTAGAGCAAGGCTCGCTGCCTTATTTTGTATCTTAGTAAGAAAGGATTGGTCAAGATTAACAATGAGGCTCTTAGCAGTGCTTTTAACAAAACATATGCAGTAGACAAGAGCCATTCACCGTATTCAATTCGTAAAAAAACCACGCACCCACCACCACACAAACAAGAACCTCCACTGAAAAGTAATTTGGTCCATGTCAATTTTCTACTTCAGTACTCCAATCCTTGCATTATTTAGGCTAGTTTCATAAATACATGATTCAGAGTTTGATTTGATATGCGGAGAAACAACAAACAGATGAACGCAGGGAAAATTGAAGAACTATAAACATATTACCGAATTAGCTTATGAAAAAATTTAAATAAGACATAAAATTTCTTACAAAACCTACTTTGTGTCTTTCAATATTGTTTAGAAAATGAATAGGTAAAATGAATTGTTTATAATACATTTTAATGGTAAACCAACCTTTTGCCTTCTCATTTCTACATCTCTGAAGGAAATTTTGCACAGTAAAGATGCGTCTCCCGTTAAGAAGTGTTTCATTTTCAAAATGCAATTTGATTCCATGTCTGCAAGGAACAAAACCTGGTTACTAAGGTTGAGCTGGATCACTCACAGTAAATACATCAGTACTTGACCGAAAGGAATATGAGAGACCTCTTTTCATAGTACTCTTTGTAAGTAACAGATTCTCCATCTTTTAAACGAAGAAATGAATTTCCATACAAACCACCCAGAGTTCCCGTGATGCAATACATGGAACCATTGTGAGGCGTATTAACCAAGGAATTCTCTAGCAAGCACGTACACAACAAACCATTTTTTGTGTGCACAAGATGACCATGACCTTTGGGTGAAGAACAACATTCGTGCATATCGCACAGACTGTTCTTTTGAAATAGAAAAGAATTAATGCAGTTCCAATCAATTAGTAAATGCTGGCGTGAGCCTTGAGTCGGAAGAAGAAGATAATCAAAGGGTACACAATCACTCCACGCGTAAGATTTGCCATGATCTTCATGAAGTTCATTAATATTATTATGGAAGAGATGCTTAAAAACGGTGGTCTGAAACATTTGACACAGAAATACCTGCAATAAAATATCAAAAATTGATTTAATTTCAGAAAATCAAAATTCTCATCTCAACAAAAAAATTATAAACAACTGATTTTAGCATTTTACCAGCTCAGTAGTCAGTGTAATGCTTCCAATATATTTTACATGCACAATTAGTTTTCCCCTGTCAACATCTAAATCAAAATTTAACGTCTCAACGTCAGATTCTAGTCTCATCCTGACGGCAAGCACAATGTCTTGTGGCTGGACAGTATAATTGAACTCCTGCTGCAACTCAAGTAAATAGCAATAGTACAGCCTTTCGGACTCATTGCCATGATAACCAACCAATTCGGGTGGGCTGTACTGTACTTGTTCCTCCATATAAGGAGGTTTATATCCTGTACATTCAGATTCGAAAAAATATTACAACTAGTCGTCTTTACCTTATAAGAGAAGTATGTAGGAGAATCAGAATCAACTTAAGCATAAACACTAATTACCAAATTCTTCAGCATCAGCAGCTTCCCTGACAATATCAGGCACAAGATTATCTGTCAGGGCACTGACCTGATGAAGTTTTCTGCAAGCTTCTAGGCATGCAAGTTGCTTCAGTATTTTAGTGTTGCCATGAACAGTAATAGTTTGGATTGGGCAGCTTCTCGGAAGGTGAAGTGTGCAAATTTTCAATTCTTTGTCAACCACACAACGAGGGTAAGGTTTGTAGTAACTATAAATCAAAAGGCCAAAAAGAAAAAAAATTAAGTTTCCTTTTTTTTTTTTCACAGTTCTGAGAAATTAACCGGTTAAACTAATCACACAGAAATCTTGTAGGTTCTTATAATAATTTGACAACCTGAAAACTAAGAGTCTCGTATAGTTGACAAAGCTGAATGATATAAAGAACAAACCAGTCGGAAGGTAGCCGTGAGCAATAGAAGTGGAGCAAAGATACACTAGAACTCAAAGTCACAATTGCTCCAGTGCTTTCAACTTCATAGTATTCTTCACTGTTTAATTTACTATCAAGAGGTTCACAAGGAAGGCTAGCATGGCTCAAGCATTCCTTCCGCATTATATCTCCACTAGCCAAATAGTTCTCCACACGATTGAGGGTGGCAGTATCCCCACTACAATCAACCAATAAAACAATGAACAAAGAAATAATCAGCATCATCTTGACATTCGAATTGCTCAGATTCTATTTGTATTGTAACCAGCTATCAACCAAAAAGGAAAAGAAGATCGATTAATATAAAAAATATTATTCTATTATACAAGTCCGAAGACTTTTAAGCAACCATCAAAGATGCACTGCAGTAAAAAAACAAATTGCTAAATTGCTCCCAACAAGAAAACAGTTGTGGAGATTTTCACCTTCAATTTTACTATTTTTATAGTGATGACAGCTCAAATCAAATGAACCATTACTATAAATTCTTCCCCAAAAAAGAAAACAGTGAAAAAAATTATTTCTTTTCATTTTATATTTTAAAAGTGATGGAGCTCACCTTTTTACCATTAATACGAAGTCTGAGTCTTGCATACGAGCACGTCCACGTGACTGAATAAAGCTACAGACTGTGGCAGAGGGGTCAAATCTAATCACAAGGTTGCACCTTTGCACGTCTAATCCCTCTTCAAGCATTGAGGTTGCAATGATAATGTTAACCTGTAAAACAATATGCGCAAGAACAAAAATAAATAAATTCTAAAAAATTAGCAAATCTTGGGGGAAAAATGCACAACTCTGAGACCCACAGTGCCCTTGCGGAATTCATCAACAATTTTGTTTTGTTCTTTCCTACTCTGCGATTGCAGCTTAGAAGTGTTCCCTGCTGTGTATTCCGTTCTCCACCCACTGACATCTGGAAGTAACTCATTCAACAAATTCCGAATAACAATAGCCGTGATAATCCTTTCAACAAAGACTATACATCTCAAATCCTTAATTTCCCTGTGCACATATCATGTAAGAGTGAGAGTACCAATGATAGGCTCTCAACCAAATACAAAATATTCACATATGATGTAAAATAATTATTCTACTAAACAATTTAAACAAGGAACCGAACAAATGCTCGTTTTCCCATCCAAATTTGATTAAAATTGAGTTTTATAGTAAATATAGAAATATCTTATTAAACATGTGAGCATAGTTAGAATATTAGTGTAAATATCATATATTGTATCTGCTTCAAGTGAACAAAAAAAAACTACAATGATACATTGATACACCTGGGTCTTTGTGCTTCAATCTACCCTAGTCCATGCATCATCTGTAACATAAATGCAGCTGAAGTGTGAACAAGAACAGTAGGATGGTTGATGACACTGCTAGTCTGAGAAGCTTTGCAAGACCTACCACTTGTGGTGGGACATCTATATGGACAGAAATTTAACACTTCTGAAGTTGATGAACATTGGTGTTGACTACAGTACTGTGTAAAGTAAGTTAAGACTTACCCAGACAAAAATGCATATATTCAAGTCAAGATCCCCCACCAAGTGTGGTGTAATGCATACGCAATTGGATATTGAAAAATTTTTGAAGTCTATAAAATTGGTGGTGGTGGTAACTGCATGTCATATTTAACTTTCAGATTTTCTATCTTGTGTTGTACAATTCACACCATCAAACATGCCAAAGATACTTCCCCAAGCACGTTTGCCTAATCATTATATCCATGGTGTGTGACTTTCTATTACATGTCAGTGGAATACAATGAAAGCTCAAATACAAGGAAAGCTACCATATTTAATTGGTTACCATTAATGAGTGTTGTAGTTAATAGCTATCATATTCAGTTGTAATTTTGGTTCTATATAATAGAGAACCTCTCACATGGGTGGAGCCAGAAAATGATATTAGGATGAGCTGAAATTTAAAAAACTTCTAATGAATTTACGTCACAAGAGACTAAACTCATATGACATTAATGACAAGAGTGTGCAACTCAATGAATTAGAAGAACTTTAGATGTTTAGCTCTTAAATGTCCCATTAGAACTTTTTATATTTTCTTACCAAATAAAAAATCGACGCTTGCATTAAAAAATATAAACTAACTGAATCATGATCGGAATAAGCAAACGATATACATCCATCAATGTAGAACTACGGAGGTGTTTGATAGGCATTCTTATGTAAAAATGTATTTTTGAATAATAAATTGACGTGAAATGTATGGTTGAAAAATAAGGAAAAAAATTTATTTACATGTAATATTATTTTAATAAAGAATGTGTGGTTGAAAAGAAGAGAGATAAAAATACATTTTGAAGAAAATGACTACCAAACGGACTCTAATAAATTATTTAACCATTGTTTGTTTCCCATTTTTGTCAAAAAAATGCATTTTCGAATAGTGTATTGATGAGAAATGTGTGGTTGAAAAATAAAGAAAGTTATGAATTTGCATATAATATTATTTTATTGAAAAATGTGTAGTTGTAGTGGAGTCAAATCTTTGTTGAAGAATGTATTTTGATGAAAAATGGAGCTCAAACAAGGGAATACCAAATACATTTACCGATCAATATTTTCAAACAATTGAAAGCTTTGGTCAAAATACACAATCAATAATAATCACTATATGTTATTGTCTTAAAATATTATTTGGTATGGACAACAATCCTATATATCACTTCATTTTGTAGTGAGTGAAGAATCATATAAAAAAAGAAAAATCAACTGAAAATTATGAGAGTTCAAAGAAATTAAATTTGATTCATGTACATATTTTGCTCAACTTTAGTAATATACTTATATGTAGATTAATTTATAAATAAATAAATTTTAACAAATATTCTTTTTATTAACGAGATCAAAATCTAGAGCAAATTATTTATATTGATCATAGCATCTAGTTCATGGTCAAAATAATTAATTTGTTCTTATAAGTATGAATAGGTAATACATTAAAAATATATATATATTACTTCTAAGCTTAGCAAAACATCTAGCATATGATGTCTCTAACTATTGAAATAAGTAATTTTTGAATCCGATCAATACAAATTTTCTATTATAAAATTAACTTAATTACCATAAGTAAATTTAGTCAAACATGCATTAAATAAAATGCCTAATTGAAAAATAAGATATTTACGTTTCACAAATATCATGAAAATAATATTTAATAATTGTAGCCTCTTCAACAAGATTCGATTAATTGAGCTTGGGTTAGAATTCAAACTAAAGCGAGGCTAACACAAATATCTGGGCCAAAATTGAACAAATTATTCTTAATTTTCCATATAGGCTAGGGTTGGGCTGGCCCCCACTACTTCCGCCCCTACCTCTCACAATAAGAAGTAACGAGTCTTATTAAGTATCATTATTGAGTGTGGTCAAATTTTCTTATTTTAATTAGATATCCTCCTCTAACTAAATTCTTTTTTAATTGGGTCTGTATTCCATCCATACCTTCATTCATTGCTCGCCATTGCTATCAAAAAGCCACCTCTTGAACAGGATCATAAGTAAGGGTGTATTTGATTACATTTATCTTCCATGAAAAATATCAGTTTTTCATTCAAATTCCTACTTTGAATGTTTGATTGCTATTTTTTCCATTAAAAACTCTGCAGCACTGACACGTTCCCGCGATAGCTTATCGGTGTCCGACACGCGTCGGCGCGTGTCAGAGGCATTGGTGAGTAGCTGAGTTGAAGGGAAGCAACAAAGAAAAATAAATGGGAAGAAGAAATGCAATCAGAGGAAGTCTGACGGTCTGGGAAAGGAAGAAAAAAGAGTGGAAGAGACTACTGGCCTGAAAATGCAACCGGTGAATTGACTTGTCTAGGAGACGGAAAGAAAACGGAAAAGGAAGAGGAAGTGACTACTTGTAATGAAAAGTTTCCATTTATCAATGAATATTTTAAATTTTAGGACCCCCCACTTGTAAAAATCTTTTACGTTTTGTATCATTCAACAGCTGTAATTTTTGATACAATAATATATAATATTTTATATGAATGAAATTGTAACAAAATTCATACTTATATAAGAACTCAAAACACATTTTCTTCCTCACTAGTCACTGCTGCTTACGAAAATTGCAAGAAAAGTTCAAAAAAACTTTCATCTTTTTTTTACAATTTCATCAATCCACATTTGAAAAATCATTTACAAGATCAAGAAGAAGATATTTTTTCAAGTTTCGGGTGATATCACTCCTATCTTATTTAAGTATTTGACATTATTTTTCTTTTGAAGTTATGGATGGTAATGCTGTGGATGATGATTTTTCTAAACCTCTTTGGAAATATGTTACAAAACTTGATTAATTTAATGAAAATGGTGGTAACATTCTTTGGCCATGCAATTTTTGTAATGCAATTAACACAAGTTCATACACAAAAGTGAGGGCACATTTGTTAAAATTACAAGGCTATGGAATTGGGGCTTATGGAAAAGTAACTATGAAAAATATATGTGAAATGAAAAATTTGGAAGATGAAGCCAAGTTGAGAATGCAAACTAAGGCAAGGAAAAGAGTGCCATTTCCGTTGGATAATATGGGTTCTAAGGATTGCTATGTTTTGGAGGAAAAGAAAAGAAAGAATAGTGCAATAGAAAATACTTTTAATGTGACAACACGTGACCAATTGGATTTCGAAATCGCTAGAATGCTATATTCAGGTGGTTTGTCTTTTACTCTTGCAAGATTCCTTATTACATTAGTTCTCATACTCTTGCTTCCAATAGTCGAATTTTAGGGTATTTGCCTCCCAGTTATAACAAGTTGAGAACTATTCTTCCTAAAAAGAGAGAAAAAAATGTGGAAAGGTTATTAAATCCGATCAAGGGCACATGGGCGGAAAAATGAATTACCATTGTAAGCGATGGATGGAGTGATCCACAAAGAAGTCCACTAATTAATTTTACGGCCTCGACCGAGAGTGGACCAATGTCTTTAAAAGCGGTTTATTTTTCCGGTGAAACAAAATATAAATATTTTATTGCTAACTTGATGAAGGAGGTTATAAGTGAAATTGGTCATGAAAAGTTCGTTCAAGTAATAACCGATAATGCTCCAAATTGCAAAAGAACCTGGCAAATAATTGAATTGAAGTATCCTTATATTTTTTGGACACCACGTGTTGTATACACACTAAATCTTGCTTTGAAGAACATTTTGTGCTGTAAAGAATGTTGAAAATAATTTGAGCACATATCAGGAATGCAAATGGATTACTAGTCTTCATGATGATGTAATGATTATAAAATATATGATCATGAACCATTCCATGAGACTAGCAATTTTTTTATAGCATGCTTACTGGATGCCATAATAGGTGCACGTCGTAAAAGGTTATCAAGATTGTGAGCAGGATTTTTCCTTTTTTCGCACGTTACCAGATTTTTCTTTTTGTTTTCCTTTTCCATCTTTATTTTTTTTAATATATTTTCCTTCCATGTCTTTTCATTTTCATTTTCTTTTCTTCTTTTTTTCCCTTTCCTTTTTCTCCCCAAATTCCCATGCTTTCTTCTTGATTTCTTCTTCCTTTCCATTAACCTTTCTTCTCTTTGCCTACGTCTTTGACTCATTTCTGGATTTCCGTTGGAGGTTGCAAGATAATCTTGGAGCAGGCTTTGAAGATGGGTACCCAAATAACTCTACATATTGATTTTAAGTCTTAATGTGATGCTAAAACCAACAATTTGCTTTTCATTTGTTTAATCTCTAATTTTGGTGACTATCGAGAAAAGAACTGTTTAGATGATAATAAAATTGAGCTTTTTCAAATTGGAAAAGAATGGGTCCTCTAGTTCTATCTTTTTTTTCAAAGAGTTCTTATGTTTTATATTGTTACGTATTTATCATATGGACTTCTTCACACATGCTATGACAAAGTTTTGCAAGGGATTGTCTTTATGTGTATGTTTTATGTCTAGTCGTACCTGATAAGTTTATTTTATATACTTATCTAGGCAATTAGATTAGAGTATTTGTTAGTAATTTGAAGGAGTTATAGCCTAATTTTGTGTTAATTATATTTGTTAGGTTGAAATTAGTGCAAATTGGTGAATTTGGAAGAAAAGAACAAAAAACGTGCTAAAACGAAGGAATTCCAAAGTAGTTGAAACATTTTCACAAATCAATCTCCAGTCGAAGAAGTTACTCTCTAAAATTTTAACCTTACTTTTAGACCCAGTTTTTGATAGCAAATATTCGATTTGGAAAATCTTTAAACCAAACGAATTGTAACTCTTTGAGTCAAATTTTTAACGCATATTGAATCACCTCAATCGGAGTTTAGAAGAAAAAGTTATAACTAAATTATCGAAAGTTGTCAAAGAACGACATTGCAAAAACGGCGTGCGCACAAGCATTTTTTTGCATGCATGAGACTTTGATATGAAATTACCGAGACCAAAATCATTGACTGATGTGCACGCAATGAACTATATGATGCGCGTGCACAGGCCAAATTTTCGTCTCGGACCAATTTCCTTATTATGATGAAATTCTATATGGAAACAATATATTGACATCCTGTACATACCTAAACATGTCCTGAACGTATGGAAACTCCCTCAGACCTAAAAATCTCTAGATTCAACATATTTTGGAGGCAAAGAACTAGGCCAAATCATCAACATCAAGGAAATTGTGCAAGATTCTTGAAGATTATCCATCCAAAATCAAGATTTTATTCAATAAAGTGGATTTCTTTAGCTTCTTCCATATTTCTTCGATTCAGATGATGTCTTTTCATGATTTCTTGTATAATTTAATAATTAGGATGGTTGGCTAAGTTTTTCCTTCGTATTGGATGAATGATGAGCTCTATTATTTGTTTATTTTAATTCAAGACAAATAATTTAGTATTTCTTGATTTTCTTGATTGGTTTTGCATTCCAATTGAACTATTTGATTGTTTGATAATCAATTAGATAGTAAGTTGTTTGTTGTAGTATAAAAATGCTCGCAATTAATTCTAAAACACGACAAAATCAACAAGTGGACAATAGGTATTAGGAAAATATATATGGCATGTGCTATCATGTGTGATAAATGTGCGAATTAATGCATGTTTTTCGTTTGAATTCGGACTAGGAATAGAATTGGGTCGTGTTAAACATAGGTTTAATATGTTTTGGAAAAGAACATTGAATAAACGTGGATTATCGATTTTTTTGAATACATGAATTTACTAAATTCTGAATTAAGAATTGAATTAAATGATAGTAAGGGGATTTACGATTGCAATACAAACATTCATATATTAAGGGGGCGTTTGTTTTCCATTTTTATAAAAATGAGAATGAAAAATGTAACCATTATGGGCTCCACAAAAGAGATAGAAATTCAAATTTGGTGACTTGATGTGATGAATAACGGTCATATTTTTCATTTTAATGGGGAAAGAATGGGAACCAAACAGGGGCTAAATTTATATAGTTGTGATATTTTATTATTTGAGTATTTATTTATTTAATTTTTCATCCGGTTCGATCCCGATTCCACCCTTTAAACCTCTACCCTCTTTCTTTTCTGGGTCAATGCTCAGGTTGATTTTTAAAACATTGTTTTTTATTGTTTATCATTTTTTTTAATGTGTCAAATTTTTCTATTACTTCCTTGAAATTGATGTTACTTTTTTAGTGGCAAATATTACTTTTTAATAAAAGTTGTATATTGATAGACCTCCCATCTATTCTAGAAGAGTCAAGAAGAATGGAGAAGCAACTGAAAAGAGGGAGTAACTGAAATTTGTTACAAGTGCAAGTAGGGGGGAAGGGGAATAAATCTGTTGGGGGAGTAACTTGAACTTGTTTTTTCCAGTTGATATCCTATCATTTATTAAAAAGTGACACAATTTCACTCTCTCTTTTTTATATATAAAAAAATGATGCTTAATTTTACGAAGTATTTTTTACTTCCAAAATATATTTCATATGATTTTTCAAAACACCTCTAATTTTAAAGGTATTTTTATAAGTTGCCCTAAAATTTACTGGGTGATTGATTGTAGTTTAGATATTATAGATTGTTGGGCTTAATAGGTCATCGAGTTTAAATAATTGGGCTATAAGCTATGGAAGCATGGGAACATAAGGAGCTAATGTCTGCTCGTACCAAATTGCGTGGAAAGTTCTCTAATCTGCTATACATAATTTTCGCAAAGATGATTACCCAAAAAAAAAAATAAGGAATTTCATTTTTGGCTAAGGAGTACAGAGACATGAGAGTGCAGACCATTGTATTTTGGTTGCTCGAGTGATGTGTTAGAGTTACGGATGAAGATCATATTTGAGTTTTTGGTGTAGGCTATTCTATGGGATTACTCCCAACTGCAACATCTTAACCAGCGATATAACGAAATCTCAAATATAAGGATGTGTTTAAGCCCCTTTAATTTTGAAAAATGTATTATGGAGTAGTAGATTGATAGAGAATGTGTGATTAAAAAAGAAAGAAAAGTTTTTAATTTGCATTTGATATTATTTTAATGAAGAATGTGTGATTGAAAATGAATATGGTAGAAAAAATAATGTAGTAAAATGTAAAATAATAAATATTGTAAATGATAGCTACCATATTTAGTTATGATTTTGGTTCTATATAACAAAGAACCTCTCATATTGAAAGATATTGAGTCTTATTGAGTATCATTGAGTGTATTTGACATTACAAAATACACTTATAATAATTATAGTTTAACACATAATTAAAGGATATTACAGTTTTCCCGAAACTATAACTTGACTTCCAAAAAAATTATAATGAAAATTTACCTAAGATTTAAATTGTTTTTGTAAACATATTAGCCCCTATTTGTCACCCATTATTTGAAAAATTAAAGAGTTTTGAATAGTATTTTTTTTAAGAATGTGTGATTTAAATAAAAAAAAAAAATTAGGTTTCTGTGTTGAATATTTTATTATGTGAATGTGGTGAAAAATGACACTGTAGCAAACAATTTAAAATTTAGAAGGGGGCCAAACACGCACTTAATCTCGAAACATGTAAAAACATTCATCAACAGAACTGAAAAAGTACTAATAGTTTCTACTTTGTAAAGAAACATGCATATAGCATATATAAACAAACCTGTATTCAAGAAGAGTGTCGACGAGGCAGACAACCTTCGATGTAACATAACCAGAATTCAGTTTTGCTTTTACATCATAAAGATTAGACCCTTGTGGCCCTTCATGAACAGAAAGAAACAATCACAAGAACGAATAGAAAAGAACAAATTTTCCAAATCTTGAAGAAAAACAGAACAGCAAATGTAATAAACAGAGTGAGAAATACCCAATGGCACAAAGGCATAAAAGACTTTAAGCGCATCCAAACTGAAATCTCTAACAACCTCATCGCCGCTGACATCCAATTTCAACCATGGAAAGACATTGTTTACTTCACAAGATAAAGTCTCTGCTGCCTATTCAAACAAAGAACTTCTTACTGCCAATTGCCACAACCGCGAAAAAATTGTGCTTTGTATATACGAAATTGACCAGAATAAAAAATATACCTGTATAGCTAACCAAACTCCCAGCTCAGTTAAACAAAACATGAAGGTAGAGCAAAGCTTAGATAATCTTCTCGTTGCAGATTTAGCTACAGAGCTCGAGATTCTTTTCAGAGAAAGTTCATGCTGGTGAATAGTATATATAAAGTCAGTGCCTTGAAAATGGAAAGAGCAAAAGATAACATGAGAATGCTAACCGTACACGAAAAAATCAAAGCATATGGGTTTAGTTTCACCTCTTAGATAAAAATTATATAATTTGTTCAAATCTCCTCTTATCTCAATGGAAATCACCCTTGTGCTTGCAGCACCAGTAACTTTTAACTAAAATCAGACAAGCTTCGTTATTGAATACCTAAGCTTATGGTGACAGAGAAGTTCAGCCCAACCCCTCAGGTGCAGATAGGATTATTTGTTTTTTAATCAAAAACCTGATACGTGCAAAAATTTCATATAAGGGTGCTGCATGACTAGGTCTATTGCCCTGTATTGATACATCTTCTCATCTAAACCCTAAGCAACAGGAACATTTATTTATTTTCATTTTGTCTTCAACAAACTGAATATTCACAGAACCTCATGCTAGGATATTTCTCATGAAGCACATTAAGTACACAAGATATGAGGGAGAATAAACATTTAAATACTATATATAAGACATACTGATCCTGCTACACTTGTAACATTAATTTGAATCTGACGGTTAGCCTACTTTTCATCGAGTGAAATTGTACTAGGAGCAATGACACACACCAAAATTTCAACATTTACAAAAACCAAGAGAGAGGTGTATACCTTCTCTATCAGCCTTTTCAGGTCACTTGCAATACCTTCAACACTGTCGCAAGGAACATCCAAATGTTTGTATATCTTCACTTTTGGAGTCGAAAATGGGATACACTGAGCTATAACAGATTCACTTTCACATGTGAAGACCTTCATACAAAATAACAGCATAGATTAGAAATCACTACATGAACCCAAATGGGAAAATCTACTAACATAAGAATGAAATTTTAAAAAAAAAAATGTGTAGCCACTACTAAGTAGAGATTTGCAAGGCTACCCTCTCTTATATGCCTTTAATGATTCCACATCAAAATCACTTGTAGTTTCAATATATATTATTTTAAAATCATTCTCCATTTCTTGAAAATTATTTAATACTGAACTGTGTCGACAATTTCAATCTACTTTACCATACTAGATTCATAAATTAAACTTGCAGCGCAACAATACATGAATTTATGAATTCAACAATTACAAAGCAAAGTTTGCAAAATTTAGCAAGAAACCTTTGAATTCATTAGATTTTCAAGTTGCCTAATCTGTTTCCAGTAGTCAGTGGCCGAGCATGAGCCTAAACAGATACCAAAATGAAATGCTCAGATAAAATTAGTAATGAAGAGAACAAAATAGAGCTAAAACAATATAATATGTATGATTAATTAATATTTTCTATAAGTTACATAGTACTAACTTTTAGCCTTTATAGGGGAAGCAGTCATCCCAAATATTCTAGGAAGGTGCAGAGCATTTTCGTTTAGTCGGCGAGCATAGAATTCCTGCAAGATGTTTTTTAATATTGTCAAGTCAAAAACCAAATCACTAGTGACAAAGTCAAAAACCAAGTCACTATTGACAAAGTCAAAGAATGTCATGTGACTTGTTGTTCATGTAATTGAGTCCATCATAGTTCTATCGAGAGCTAAGACATTTTCATTATACTCAGGTTTAAACCGTTAAACCGAATAAGACAATAATAAACTCAATGAACATAATACTTCCACAGAACATCAATGCTCTTCTTTGTGACTAAAAGTTATTTGATACGAAGAAAATCGTAGTGAAAATTCAGCAGTAGCTCAAAGTCTACAGCAATGCATCAGTCAGAATGATACGAGAAATATATATATATATATATATATAATATCCTTAAAAGTTCTATCAAGCATAAAAATGGGACTTAAATAGTGACAATACAATCCAAATGCTCATTTGGAACTCTCTTGCACTGTGCAACAAGCAAAATCTTAATCATACTTCTATTATGTTTCCTTCATGACGCAGCCAGTTGTTAAAATTATATATCAAATTAGACCTTTGTTTGGCTAAAATTACTAGTAACTTATAATTTATAGAAAAGTCAAACATTAATTTCAACCACACATTAATAATTAACCATTTATTACCAAACATTCCTCCTTATAAGTTACTATGCCCTTGTTTTAAGCCTTATTCTCTAAAAATTCATTTTTCCCAAGCTCTTTTCAACTATACATTCTCTCAACAAACCAATTTGCACGTAAATAAAATAACTTTTCTTATTTTTTAATCACACATTCTAAAAAAACACTATTACAAAACTAATCTTCTCACAAAAAAGCAGGGCTCAAACAAAGCCTAATAATTTTGCTCAAATAAAGGCTATAAATTAAAAATATATGACCTAGAAACACAGAAACATATACCGATTTCTAAGTAACATTTCGATAGTCAAAATAAACACATGAAGAGGTATTAAGATATCTATGAAGGTTCCAAAATAAAAAGGAAATATCAACCAAACAAGCGAGTCATGATCAATAATCAAATTCTCTTTGTGAGACCACAAAAATATTAAAAACAACTTCAAGTTTAACTATCATATTATAGAACAGAACAAAATCATACCCTCATGATGCGAGCATAAAAGTGGTTGCCTCGGGCATTATGGCACTCATCAAATATGAGAACTTTTATCCAATCAATATTCAAAAATCTATGACTCAAGGCAGCATGCAAAATTGCTGGAGTCATAACAAGCACCTGAACATGAAATCCCATTATTACAACATGAGAAGCATTTAATGATGATTATCATAAATACGCATTTACTCTTTACTACAACTCTCACCATTCTTAGAACATTAATATCTCTAAGAAGGTTTAAACCATTTACAAGTAACATATTTTCATCACAAAAAATAAGACGTCTTACAGAAGTAATTTCCTCACAAATATTTGTAGAATATCTATAAGTTGGCAACTTAGATGAATAATATGGATACCATTTACCTCCCTTAAAATTCTTGCCTCCACCAACTTATTGTCCTAATAAACAGAGCATCAAATTGAAAGGAACCTTTTTATTTAAGATTGAATTATATACTAATTTTAAGGAGCATTGTAATAGGCAGCCCTATAACCCAATGCCACAGCTTCATCCAATAACAAAGATTTATGAATTTATTTCAAGGTTTATGGTCTTGTAATATATGATGTTACGCTAAATATCATTAGAAGTAAAGAAAGAGAAGATAGTCATGTTATTCACACCTCGTGCTCATCCATTTCATGCTTCCATGTGGCAGCATCCCAGTAATCAACACCCAACTCACCATAATACTTGCCCACCTTTAAGTCCGTGTGCATCGCAATAGCTTCACCTTGCTAATAACCATCGGAAGTACAAAATAAAAATTGAAACCAATAAAAAATATATAAAAATTGTAACTTGGGAAAAGGAAAAGGATAACATAGAAAACTCTAACTGAGAAGAATAATATCTTCATTAAATTTACTGGTTAATAATCAACCAAACAACTACCTGGTAAGTGATGCAAATATAAATGTGGCATAAACTCAAAGGACAACAAGTAATAATGTATCAAATAAATCAAAAGAAAACCAATGCACAACATCTATAAAGTAAAGATACATAATCACATACTTGGGTCACCAAAACAACAGTAGGGACCAAAAAAACAGCAATGAAGGGTGAAGGCTTTCTGAGGAGGTGGGCGTAGCTACGGAGGAGCATGATTGCAACCAGGGTCTTCCCAGAACCAGTCTCCAAGAACACAATGGTATTCCCCTTTAGCGCTTTTTCCAATGCTTCCAGCTGATAGCTGCATCGACACCGGAATAAGATTATTTTAAGAGAACGGAATAGTAATACATTGATGCGACTAAAATTTTTCATGTCTCAGTCTGTCTGACCAGAGGATTAATATTCTCTCGCAATTCTCATATTGCATTGTCACTCGCTTCAACATTCACAGCATACCATAGCTTTATTGAATGATGAAACACAAGTGTTTACACACACGTGCAACAGATGCAAGCAGGAGTATGGATGTCAAAAATCTTTTTGGGTAATGCTTACAATCCAATCTCGCGAAACCGTGCCCAAAGAATTTCAAGCAGTTCCTTTCGTAAACAAAGGACAAGGGAAATTGTCTTTTATGTCTACTCATTCATATGTAATCAATTTTCTCGGCTTGGATAGACTGGATAGGCAATCCACGCCTCTTTCATATGATACCAATCCAAGAAAGACAAATTAAAACAAATATAATTAAAGACACAATCAAAGAGACCATCTACCTTCTGGCAAAAGGAACAGAATCAGCGGCAAGCTGTTGGTTCCCTCCATCGATAGCCATATCAATTGTATGCACAACTTTGAACCTTTTCTTTAGGATTAAAAAGTTAACGGTGAAAATCAATGAAAATTAAGAAGTCCAATAAATACGAGTATAAATCAACTCAAATGATAAGAGAATAATACATTTAATATACGGTACTTAAATGAGTATTGTGTGCATCAAAAAGAATGACTGGTTTATCACATTCATTAGAAGAGAGGTAGTAGCAGCAGGCCCTATCACTCTTCTTTCTCAGTGCGATGATCAACAATTCTATCAGTTCTTGTCTTTTGGGATGAAATTCCAAAAGTGATTAAGGTAGTAACCGAAAATATAGGCAGAAGGGCTATTTTAATAGCAGCATCCAACCTATACAGACTTTCAGCCTCATCTTCTAAGAAATGTACCCAGCGAGTAATCATCAATAAATGGCCATAAGGCTTACATCCCACTTTTTTTTGTTTTAAAAAAAAAAAAATTTTTTTTTGGAAGAAAAGACTATGATCTTTTTTCCTATCTCAGAGGAAAGATCTCTTTTAAACGGCTGAAATCAATCAGAGGTTTATTTCACTTGATCTTACCATTCTAGAATCAGCTCCACTGCTTTTAAACACGCATTTGCCATAAGAACCAACATTAAAAACGCAGAAAGAGCACGTAAGTTTCACAGCATGCCACATTAAAACCCAAAAAAACATTAATATATATTTGAGAAATCAAGAACTCACCGTTGGCTAAAAACAAGTTCTGTTCAAGATTTCCTGTTTTATAATACAGTAAACAAACAGTGACTGATCAAACTTGATCAAGGGTTGTGTGTAATATACATACACAAAGAGCTGTGTATGAATGGTGAGCAAACTTCTCAAGCACACTTCCTAGAGAGAGAGAGAAAGAGAGAGAGCGCGCCGTGTGGAGCTTTCCTAAATTTTGAGTGAAAAGTAAAGAGAAAAGAAAACGACAAAATGTCAGTCTACTGTTTCTCGGTAACGAGAGAATTTCGATATCTTGTTTGATAGTGATTTTATATTTCCTTTTCTGTGAAAAAAAAAGTTTTTTTTTAAGGTTCCGTTTGATATACATTAATGTAAAAAAAAATATATATATATATATATAATTATTATAGGCTCCACACAAGATATAGAAATTCAAATGTGATGACTTGATGTAATAGATAACGATCATATTTTTCATTTTAATGAACAAATAATGAGAAACAAACGGGAGCTAAATATATATATAGATTAAAAAGTAGAAAAATTATGAATTTTTATTTGATAGTGATTTTTTCATAATAAACTATGTGAAATGTATTTGTGATTAAAAAGTATAAAAAAATTATAAAGTTACGTATAAAATTATTTTATTAAAACAATATAATTCAAAATTAAATTTAAAAAATTTAAAAAGAGACGAATAGAAACTTAAAAAATTCGAAAAAGGGAGACAAACTGAATTGGTCACTTAGACGGTATATGCAAACTAATCCGAAGCAATAATTAGCCATTGTTTGAACCCCATTTTTTCAAGAATGTATTTTTTTAAAACTTATTTTTTATTGTAAATTTTTCTATAAAATAATTGTATATGTATTCTAAAAACTTTTTTTTACTTTTTAACCACATATTCTCTAAAAAAACCATTATTTCATAATGCATTTTATCCTAATAATGGAGATCAAACAGAGGCTTAACTTGTGTTGCATGACTTAAAAAGGGCAATCGAGAAATTAGAGGTTGAGACTAAAAATAAAAGGACGAAAAGATGGATCCACAAAAACTCCATTAAGTCCCCGTTTGATTCTCATTCTTTGGCCATAAAAATGAAAAATATAATCGTTATCACATCAAGTCATTATATTTGACTTTCTATTTCTTGTGTGGGTCCCGTAACGATTATATTTTTCTTTCTTATTCTTTCAAAAATGGGAATCAAACAAGGCCTAAATAACTAATTGTATTATGGTTCTCCACCATAAATTATTAATGTGAATTATGAAATGATATTATTAGAATAAGTCCATATTTGGTAGAGATTAAAATTAGATGTTTAGCAGATTTTGAAAAAAGTTGAAGAAATGTGTAGTTGAAAACATATATGACCAATAAATATAGGACCAATAAAATATGTTGTTAAAATAAATTATTGAGTTTAACTTGGATCAAAGTTTGTACCAAATTTAATTATAGCAATGTTTCTCAAATCCTTATAAAAAAAAAACAAATTACTTTTATTTACATATTTTGTAAGATTTATAAGTATTATTTGCTTATCATTAACTTATTTCTATGTATTTATAATTAATCTATTTGTAAATACCTCCGAACACAAACTTTGAGCCCCATTTTATTAGGAAAAAGTTCATTCTTAAAGAATATTTTGATATCATTTCAACCATACATTATTTAATAAAATAATATTACACATAAATCCAAAATTTTCCTTATTTTTTAACCATACATTTTCCAACAATACACTATTCAAAAATAAATTTTTCTCCCAAAATGTAGCTCAAACAAGGGCTGAATGTATTTAAACTTCTAATAAAACTTATTTGAATATACATTTAGCTTCTATTTAGGCTCCAACTTTTTAAAGAGTAATATTATTTAGTACCAATTTAGGTGGTCATACTTGATAAGTTCAATTAAAAAAAAATTATATGATTTGTATTCAAGTGAAACTATCATTCAATCTCTATTTGACAACATTTCTTTAAGAAAAACAATGTTTTGAATAGTAATTTTCAGAAGAACGTGTAACTCAAAAGTATGAAATAGTTTTGAATTTACTTGTACAATATATTACTGTGTGAATATTTGATTGAAAATAAGTACATAAAAAAAAGTTTCAAATAAAGATTGTCAAACAGGGTCAATGTCATACAATTATCTCTTAGGCTTGTGTTGACAATGTTTGTGCTGAATATCGTAACTCTATTTCTCATAAACTTATTTCAATTACATATTCTCATATAAAAAATTTAAATGTAAATTTATTCTTTTTCTAATCATACATTCTTCAAAAAATTATTATTTCAAAACATGTTTTTCCAAAAAAATGAGAATCAAATAGGGCTTAACAACTTTGCCCTTGTTTGAGCCACATTCTTTGAAGATATGTCATAATAATTTTTTCAAAAATGCATAGTTAAAAAGTAAAATAAAAAATAGGTTTACGCGTATATTAATTTATTCTAAACATGTGTGGTTAAAATAAGCTCTTGTTTGAGTTCTATTTTTTCAAAAAACTATTTTTTTAAAACTCATTTTTAATCACACATTTTTCAATAAAATAATTTTACACTTAGCTCCTGTTTGTTTCTCATTTTTAGCACATAATAATGACTTTTTTAGCCGTTGGAAGCCTACGAGTTTTACAAAATATGAGAGGCTAGTAAATAATGGGCTAGGTGGGTTTCATTAACAGTCTAATTTCTTCTAAAAACGAGAAACAATTGGCAAAAAAAAGGAGCTTAAAGTGAAAATCTTTTCTTGTTTTCTACGTACATATATTTCAAAAAGTAACCATTTCAATTTGGGTTAAATCCACCCTTGGCCACCATACTCAATGTCAACTATGACCATTCAAATTGATTTTTGATTTATTATGATCATTGTATTTTATATTTAGTGTTATCATGATCACTTAAATTACTTTTGATTCACTATGATCACCTAACTTCATAAAACGTTTCGATCAAACTATCCAATTATTGTGACAATAAATAAGACACAGGCATTAAAAAAAATTCGCACATAATTATTAACAAAACAAAAAATAGGGATGAGGATCAGAAACAAAAATAAAAAAACACACATGGTAATCATTACAAAAACTTAAAAAATACGTTTGTGTGTGTGATTTTTGGTTTCCGCTAGCACACAAAATATACAACTATTACACACATTTTCACATACATAAAAAAAAAAAAAAATCACTAGTCAAAATCAAGAAAAATTATATAATATAAATCAAACCGAAACCAAGAAAAAAATTTAGCACGTAAAAAAAAATTAAAAAATACAAGAAAAATCAGCTAACCCAATTTAAAAAATTATATTAATGTAAATCAAATGCAAATCAAGAAAAAAATTTGTTTTTGCTTTCATATAATTTTTATTAGTTTTTGTAAATTGTAATGATTATTATGTTGTGTGTTTTTTTATTTTTGTTTTTATTCTCATTTACCTTTTTTTGTTGTGGCGTATGAATTTTTTTATTGTGGTAATATTTAGATGGCTTAACTAAAACGTTATATAAAGATGGGCGGCCATGATGGATTAAAAAGAATTTGAGTGGTCATGGTGATACTAAATATAAAGTACAGTTGTCATTAGTGGACTTAACCATTTCTAATATATAATTTTTTTTTAAATGAAGCTCAAACGTGGATTTAGCCCTTATTTGGCTCCATTTTGGGGAAGAATACATTTTTGAATAGTGTATTGATAAAAAATATGTGGTTAAAAATGAGAAAAAATTTTGAATTTGCGTGTTAAAAAATGTGTGATTGAAATGATGTCAAAATACTGTTAAAGAATACATTTTTTTTTTTAAAGAATAGGATTCAAATAAGGGCTTAAAGCCTGTTTGGAAGTGATTTTGAGAATTGATTTTTTGACTGTTAGGAGAAAAGTGAGGTCCACCTGTAAAAGAAGAAATCAAATATGATGATTGAAATAATGAAATAACGATCAAAAATTAATTTTTTAGGGAAAAAATTACTCCCAAACATACTCTTAAATTCGATGAAAAATGAATTTTTTGAAGAGTTCAAACCGGGGTGTGAGGGGTGGTTATTGCATTAAAACAGTGCAAATTGCATTTTCGAAAACTATAGCAGTTTGACCGATGGGAGACAAAATGAGAGAGAGAGAGAGAGAGTTTCATATGGAAAAAAGAAAGGCAGTTTGAACGTTGAAAGAGTGGTGAAATGTCATTGTCTACGGAGGGAGACTTTTCAAAAAAGAAGAGGAAAGTACAGGAAATAATTCACAGGAGCTTTTCCCAATGTTAAGCTCGTTTGAGTAATTCCCTCCCTGTACCTGGAGAATTACTCAAAACAAAAGTAGTCTGATTTTTGGAGATCCCACCGTCCATTGTTACACTATTTTTATGCTTTTAAAGATTCACGATCATGATGTGTTTTGACATAAATGGAAGTGAATATCTCCAAAATTTCATCACATTATCTTTTGTTTCATTAAAGAGCTTGTTTGGAACAGTTTAAAGGGTGTTTGAGAATTATTTTTATGTAAAAATGTATTTTGGAATAGTAAATTGGTGAAAAATGTGTAGTTGAAAAATAAAGAAAAGTTTTTTATTTACGCGAAATATTATTTTAATGAGAAATATGTGGTTGAAAAGAAGAGAGAGAAAAATGCGTTTTGAAAAAATTGGTTCCAAACGGGGCCTTAAAATACAATTAAAATTAATTTTTTGACCGTTATTTCACTATTTCAGCCGTGAGATAGGACCCATTTTATCTCTATTGGTCAAAAAATTAATTATCAAAATTCCTACCAAACAAGCACAAAATGAACGGGTGATCATTTTTACAATTTAGGAATTTGATTCTATTTTCATTATTTTTTTCATAATGGAAGAGGATAATATCTCTAAAAATTGATTGTGTTCACGTCAAAAAATGAAAATTAATTTTTAAAACCAACTATAGTTCTTCCATCCAGATTTCAGCAAGATTTTTCCTCATTTTGAGATTTTAAATGTAAATTCCCGAAAATTTTATAGAATAAAACTATTTGTTCTACATGATATATTTTTATAATTTTGGAAAGTTGATGGACTAAGATAAATAGTATTAAATCCAATACTATTGTAGGTCAAATAATTAATTATTGAATTAATGATAATTTAATTTTATTCGGGTCAAATATTTAGATTTCTCTGGAGCAAAGATAAGTATATCAGTATTGGGCTCGTTGGATAGCTCGTATATCAATATTAGGTTCGAGAAAAAATTATCGGATAAATGAAACCTAAGTTCTTGAAGTTTAATTTTTGGGGATTGCTAAAGTCTTGATAACTACTTGAGAAGTCCCAAGTCACATTTGATCAATCCCTAAAGTGAGATTTTTCTGATGACTTCAATGTAGTTTGCTAAGAAAATACTATGTTAAGTGACAGAACTAATGAAAAAAATATCAAGTCCTTCGATAAAATAATATACAAAAGTTATCTTTATGGATCACACAATATGTGATATTTGTTGTCGAATTATTTTGCAGGTTGGAACTGAAAAGCAGCAAAGAGGTTCTTGAAAATAAGCGCCCGTTTGCCCCCATTATTTTTCATTAAATTAAATTAAATTTTTCTCTCTTCTATTTTTAACCATACAATCTTCAATAAAATAATATTACACATAAACCAAAAACTTTTCTTTTCTTTTCAATCACTTATTTAAAAAAAAAAAAAAACACTATTCAAAACATTATAATCTCCAAATAATGCGGCTCAAACGTGGGCTAAGTTAGGGAAACAGGTGCTGTTGAAAGGATTTTTGCTAGAGTTCAAGAAAGATCCAGGGAAGGTATTGCTAGCGGTTGTAGAGAAGCCTGATGGCAAGAAGAATTGGATGGTTTTTTTATCAAGTTTAGTTAGAAATACAGCATATTGGATAGGTTGCTAGGTATTGGATTCTTGTCTTTTTCTACACTTTTCGAGAAGGCTTCCAGTCTCAAATTGTTCATGTGGTTCTTATGCATAATCGTGCCATGACCTCCATTAAGCCAGAGCAAATTACTTTTATAGTTCATGTTGAAAACTTTGACCACAAGAGATATCAAACTTTGTCAACGTAGCTCTGAATTATTTGGTTTATTAATCCTATCATTTTGAGTAGAAATGTAGCTATTTTGGATTCTTTTCCTTGTTTTGTTTGTATATTAGAAACCACTTGCTTTGTTATTTGTTCAGGATCCGACATTACTCGAGTTTTCCAGGATTGAGCTTCTTGAAAAGAACAAATATGTAAGAGTGGAAGAGTTGGTCAAGGTAAGTATTTTGCATTACTAATTTACATTTCTGTGTTTCTCTAATGAAATTAGTTCATCCAAATAGATGATGTTTGGTAGTGCCGAGCCTCTTGAGAGCTATTTTGCTCATCTACTGCATTCAAAAGATGATATATATTTCACGTTTTTAGAGAGTAAATGTTCATCTTCTGTTTATGAGCCTGGACCTGTTGTTCAGGCATGTTGCAAAGTCGTATATGGATACGTTTAGTCACTAATAATACAGATTTTTGGTTTCATTTCTGTATTGTATTATATGTTGTGGTCATTTACCGTTGGTGTTCCTGGTTAACTTGCGGACTATTAATTATTATTTTTTGTAATGCTCCCCAGTGTAATGCTCTCCAGCATGATGCTTATTTGATTTATTGGCTTGTCTACTATCTATAATTCAATGAATATGAATTACTAGGTTGAAGAACTTCTGCGGAGGAAGCATGCCAAAGAAGGTACTGAGAAGGAACTTTAAAAGTTTGTTAAGATACAGAAATTTGCAAGGGAAATGCCACCATATTCAGAACCCACAAAATTCTCATGGAGATCTGAAGAGAATATTCAGCATAGCCTATGAAAAAAGTCACCTTCCAGAATATCAGCAGTCAAGTTGAAATCTTGGCAGGAAGGTAATAACTACTACAAACTTATTTCTTGTCTGAATATATATAAATATATGTATATATATATATATATTTTGGTTTCAATAAACTTTGATTAACCTATTAGCTTGAGCACACATATAGTCGTATGTTTATTTCTTTTCTACAATTTTTCCTAAATATACAGTGATTGTACGAGTATCATCTTAAAAATTGCAAGTATCTTGTCATTGTACAAAACATGTTGATAACTATGCTCACGGTTGAATAAACTTCATTATATCATCTCCAAATTCTCCGCAAACCTTTTCCTACATGCTGCTTGTAAATGATTCTGAAATGGGCCTCTAAAGAGCTATTTTGGAGGTATCTATTGAAAATAATTGGCAGAAATCTCACTTTATTTCCCAAAAGGTATTATTTTCGTAAAACATTTTTGTTTTTCTTCATGAGCTTTAAGATTCCCCAAAAAAATCCAGCGAATTTGAGATCTGTAGAATGCGAAGAAGAATTTAGACAAACATTCACAGAACCCATATCTTAAATAATGGCTTTATTTTTGTATTTCATTACAACTATTGTGGTGTGAATCCTTAACTTATTTTGAGAGCTATTATGTATAATGTTAGTTGTATAAGTGTTGAATACAGTGTCCTGTAAACCAACTTTGTTAACGACAACTGTAATGTTTAGTGATGGCACATGGAGTTTATATGCTAGCAAACATCTACCATGTTATTTCCAATATTAACATGAGAAACTTATGTTTGAGAGACATATAGGAAATATGTTTTTACTTCAAATGATAAAACCTCAAAGTCTTATATAAGTGATGATATCATATCTTTGATATGGAACTCGCGAATTAATGTGGTACTAAATTATCGAAAAATATATTTTTTTAAGTATCATTTGTTTACTCTTGTTGAAATTGCTTTCCAAATGGAGTAAGCACAAAAGCTTGATGCTGCCCAGAAAGCTGGAGGAGAGGGTACAGAGGTAGGCTGGTTTAGTGTCCTAGAATTTATATACGATAGGTGTAAACAACTTGTATCAATGAAATGAAATGAAAAATATATCGACTCAATATTTTCCCTTAGTGAATCAACTGAATGCCTATGTCCTAGAAATGTCAATTTCAAAGAGAGTGGATGGTACTCAGAGAACATTCACAGTTTGAGCAATAATTACACATCTTCTTCCCTCATTTAATATGTTCTTCTTTTTTCTTTTCAGTCTTTCCTGCATGTTTTTACCTACACTATGTGTATCTGGATATTTCCTATCTTTCGTAATTTCTCGTTGGGTCTCACCTTATTTAGATTAAGTTTATAGTCTATTATTCATTTGTAACCCTCTTTTTATCTGTTTAGTGATTTAGACATACATATTCTTGTCTCATTCTAGAGTTTCCTATTCGTCTCGACTACTCTCTCGATAATCGCACGTCCTAAGATCTCCATTTTCGTTCGTAAGGTCATATTTGGTAATTTGTTGATTACTTTGCTAAAGAGTACTTGTAAGGAAAACAATTCCCCGAGAACTTCAAACTTTTCCGATCTGTACTTTCATTTTCATTACCAAATTTGAATGTAAAATTCTTATATGTGTATATTTATGTTTGTCTGCATTTTGCTTAATTCTTCAGTTTTTGAATAAAGAGAAATTTAAAGAAATAATTCACAAGTAAGATCTATCTCTCTCTTTAACAAATTTTAATAGGTTTCAATTATTTTTAGTATTTTTGTTGTTGATTTTTGGGATTTGGAAAATGAATGGAGGTTAGAGAAGGAATCAAGATTTTTCTTCAACATGAGTTACTCTCAAGATGCTGTAACGAATGGCGAATGGGAGGACGTGGAAAAGTATTTATCAGGGTTTACAAAGGTTTTTGAAAGTGTTTTCGAGTTTTAATGTAGAACTTCTTAAGGAAATAACTATATATGCATTCATCGAAAGTATAGTTTTTTTTTTTTTTTTTTTTTTTTTTGAAGTTCATACTTTCTTACATTGAGTTCAATTTAATTTTTTTCTTCTGTGCTTAGTGAGAGGATTGTCTTAGAAATTGTAACGAATAGAGAGAAAATTGATGTCGAAATTTTGGTTCAGGTTGTACATTGTTAATTTTACACAAAACATGGAGCAAAAATTATACGGCAATGGCCTTTTGTTGGGATGAAATGCAACATTTAGGTAAACTAGTTACTTTCAAAGATATTATGGTATTAAATGGAGAAAAGCTAGCTTGTGAGTACACGTCATTTGCTCGTTTTTCTTGTTGACATCTAATTTATTTTTGGTGTACGATTTCAAAATAATTGCACTTATTTCTTCTTGTCCTAACTTTACTTTGTAATTTATATCTTGATTGTTAAATTTCGAAGCCACTGTAAACTATAAATAGGTTGATTATATTTGATTATTGATGGATAGTCTTTCAGTGAAGAAACGTGCTATAGCAATGAGCTAGAGCACGAAGAAGGAGAAACTTGCCAAGGATCCTACAAGCCAAAGATGCCTATCAGTGCTTTTCTTCGTTTTTATGTATGAACTTCCCTTTCGTAAAAAAGAAACAAAGTAGAACAAAATACATAAAATCACTATTTCCATGCTAAAACATTCTCAGGTTATTTGGGTGTGATTTTTTGGTCGAAAAGATTGATTTTTTGACTGTTATTTCATTATTTCAATCGTCATATTTGACTTCTTCTCTCACAAGTTAACTCTACTTTTCTCCTAACGGTAAAAAAATCAATTTTCAAAATCACTCCCAAATAAGCTCTCTATATCTAAATTCATAACTTTTTTTGTCTACTTTTTAATCATAGATTCTATTTAAAAACTTATTTTTTCCAATAAAATTATTTTTAATGGTTATCAAATAGGATTCTACTTTTTCAAATTTAGATCTACTTTTTAAAAATATAAAATTTAAAGTACAACTATCATGTTCCACTATATAAGTTAGAGGCGAACATAGTTTCGTTCGGACTCGTCTTAGCTTAAACTGCCATAGAATGAAGCTTAGCTGTCACCCATATGCTTGAGATTATGTGGAGTCCATCTCGAGATGCTCACTATGACCTTGCTTTGAGGCCTTTCCCTCTTGTTAGCTTGTATTGAACCTAGCCTTAATCAATATCATATGATAAAGAAATGGATCTCCGAACTAGAAAGCATAAATCAAAGGCAAGAGTGAAATCAAACCAAACCAATTAAAAAAAGTAAAAAAAAATAAACTTGAACAAAATCAAAGTAAAATTTAAATGCTGGTGCAACAAGCATATGCGTGTATATAATCAGCAACTAGAAGATAGATCAAGAATATACTGAAAATAGCTATAAATCCCTAAACGATTCTTGTAAATTCGATGAAAACAAAATGATATTGGAACATGAAACTTGATTACAGAAAAGTAGCTAAATCTTTAGATGGTGCCACGGAATGGGGAGAATGGGTGGTGGTGGTTAGTGGTAGGGTATGGAATTGGATGGGAAGTAAAAATCATTTTAAAAAAATAAAAATTGTTTTTCTATTTCTAATTCTTTTCTTATTTTTAAGACTTTTAATTCTCTTTTTTAATTATTTTGGTGTTGGTGTTGGTGATGGCGAATGGTAGGGTAGTAGGGTTAATTGAGAAGGTGAATTATTTTTTCTTTTGTTAGTATATTTTAAATTCTTTTATGTGACACTAGTTTGTAATGTTTAAAACACTTGGAAGTTTAGCTGCAATTATTTTTTCTATATTCCTTCTTTCTTTTTTTGTTTATTTATTTAAAGAGAATGATAAATTAATCATTTTACAATGCTTTAAAGGAGAAAATAGATGATGATTACATTTTGCACAAGGAAATGTTGATTTGAGGACAAAAATATTAAAATAGAAGCAATATAGAGGATTTGCACAATGAAGACAAAAGATAGGGACGTTTCATATCAATTTTCTATATCTGACGGAATGAGACAAAAATGATCAACTCCACAAAAAGCTAAAATGATGTGCAAATATTAAATTTGAAATGATGAGACAATTTACACAATGAATACAAATGATGTGAACGTTTTGTATTAATAATTATTAAATTTTTAATTGTGAAAATACAATTATAGCTTCTCCAACATACAAACCCCACCAAAAATTGACATGTGCGTGATGACAAAATATATTGCATAAATGGGTGAAACATGGGTCATGTTTGTTTGTTTAAAAATAAAATTGAGAATCCAAGTTACATTATTTAGTCTCGGTCTGACTCTCGTTAGAACAATACTCTTTATTTTTCATACTCATTTTCAATTATATATTCACACAACAAAATATTTTATATGTATACCTAAAACATTTTTTTACTTTTTAACTACATATTTTTCAAAAAATCACTATTCAAAATATTATTTTTTTCTTAATTTCTCTTTATAATGACCATTAAACCTGGCATTTTTAATAAAAAAAGTGTCCCATTTCATTCATGGTTTTCACGTTCTGAACTTTTTTTTTTTCACAAATTGCAATTATTCCCCAATATAACAACTTTCGAATTTCATGTTAATAATTCGAGAACAAACATGTCTTCTTTTTAATCGTTATTAAATATCATGCTTATATACTAAACTTTTCTTTTATCATATTCTTAGTTTAACCCTTCACAAATTAGTAAATATTGTCCTTAATCACAAATTTCGTACAAAATATTATAAAAAATATTTTATAGTGTAGTTTTTGCATTTCGAAAACTTGAAAATTGTATAATTGACTAATTGTAGGTGTTATTAAGTAAATATAATATTTTATAATTTTAGATATATGATATTTATTATTTTAATTATTAAATGATTTTTAAAATGATCAGATATTTAAAATAATAATAAAAATGCCTAGACCTCACCTAAGCTAAGTTTGACTTTCACATTGAGTCACACTTTACGTTTTCTAGAACATTGGTTAATATACAAACGATCTTTTTTTTGTAAAGAGATTTTTTTTCATTAAAAAAAACTACCACTCGAAGGAAAAAATACAATAACCCACTCATATTTTACTTAGTACTTGTCTGATGGGAAATAAAATTAGATTTTAGCTGATTTTAATAAAAATTGATGAAATGTGAGTTGAAAATTATGAATCACATGAAATATGTGATATAAATTTATTGTTAATTTCAACTTAAATTAAAATTTTGATTTTAATCCACCAAACACGTCTTCATAAAACTTATTTTTTGCATGATAAATTTTTAACCTTTCTTTAAAAAAAAAAGCATCAAATTTTAAACATAAACAAGAAATACTAATGTGATATTTCAAAACTTACAATTTGATGATGTGTACCAGTCAAAATGAATTGCGTGCCATATTTGCAATTTCTAGTACTCTCGAAGCCTGTATAACAAGATTGTTGACTTCCACGCTTTCCTTCATGATAACTAGTACAGTGGACGTACCTTGCACGTTAGTTGATTAATGTTAAAATTTAGTGTATGTAAATTTGAAAGAAATTTATTTGTAAACGTTAAAGATATTTATAAATTGGTTCAAATTGACTTATTTATAACTTGGTTAAAATTGACTTGAGCAATGCCAAAGGTACAATATTTTTCACAAAAATCATACAGATGGACACTTGACAAATTACAATTGGAAGATGACAAAAATATAAAAAAAGGAGCGATGCCAGTGCTGCATATGATTTCTATATGTTCTTTCTTGTATTTAGGGAAAAAATGAATTGGCTTACCTCATCTATTTTCTTTGTATTTTTTTTTTAAATTTTTCGGAGCTGCATCCCTACTCACCTGGTCCATCCACATCGCTCTCTCCAAAAGGTTGGCCGCCAATCCTAGATCTTCATACGAAGATTTAGTATACATGTATTCCTATTTTCGTTTGACTGTAGCACATAAGTATTTCATTATCATTACTTCTAAGAATGAATATACTGGTTGAGAAGATTTCGTTACTTGTAAAATGAAAATGGAAGCTAAAAGTAGAACAATCATAGAGACAAAATACATACAATCTTTAAATCAATAACTGCGCCATAAGTAGCTTCAAATATAACTGATATTTTAAAGGTCATTTGCAAATTGCAGAAGCTATTTGCTGCTACATGTTGCACTTCAAAGTGGAACGAGACAAAAACCATTTCTAAATTGCATGATTGCTCTAATGCTTAAACATTTTGTATAATAAAAAAATTGATTGCCAGATTCATCGTCTACGATGCCTTTGCCAGCATCATCATCCCTTTGGAATGTGAAGAACTGGAATTTAACAATCACTGGTGGACCCACAGTGGGCTTTTTTGATTTTTTTTTTTTTTTTTTTTTTTTTTTTTAAAGGGATATCAGATTTGAAATAGAACTCCAGCCCGGAAAATCTGAAAACTTTGAATAAGTTATAATTTTTTAAAGATTCATTCATCAAAAGTTATATGCCTCATTTTTTGAGAAATTATTTCTTTTTTATGATTTCTTTTGTATTTTCTTATGAAATGAAACTAGGGATCCATTTAAGTGCTCCAATTTCTATCTTGTTTTGGCTATTTTATGGTAATGAATTCTTTCTATAATTTTTTGTCTTTATTTGGACTGGAACACATTGATAATTTAACATTCAGAATTGCTGTGATTTTTCTATTTGTCACTTGAATTAATTATGATGGAAAAATAATTTCAACGTTAATATGCTTCTTCTGTTTTTACAATCACAATGTATCATAAAGGAATATTCAAAATAAAAGTGATGAAAATTGTTGGAGGAAAGATGAGTTTACTAATTTGGATTGGCTAAGGCTTTTAAGAGGACAACACTAATAGGAAGAATGAAGTGAAAAAAAGGAAACTTGTATTTCTCAAATTCAAGACTTTATACACTTTTTGGCTTGTTACAAAATGGATGACACTACCTCTTTATATAGTGTTTACAAGAAAATTCTAGTCCACACATTTTCTAGAGACACCTATACCACACATCAAAATATTTTCTTAGAATTCTCTTGATATTCTTTACATATCTTGTTTAGATATTTATATAAATTTTTCTAGTAGATATTTATATAGATTTTTCTAGATAATGCTTCTAAATATGTTAGGCATGTTGGGCCTTTTAATTGATTTGGGCCTATAAGCAAAATCTTTAAGCCCATATTATTTAGTCCAAAAATCAAGTTTACTACTCAACATCTCCCATTAAACTTGATTTTCCTACTCCAAGTAGAGTTCTTAACTTGCGAAACACATCATGCTTGAGTGGCTTAGTGAGAATGTCGGTGATCTGCTCTTAGGAGGTTACATATTTCCGCTGTACTTCTTTCTTTGTAATACTTTCTCTTATGAAATGATATCTTATATCAATATGCTTGCTTCTGTCATGCAATACTGGATTCTTTGCCAATGCCAATGCCAATTTGTTATCAACATGGATTATGGTTGGTTCTTCTTGTGAAACTCCAAGCGTCTTCAACAAGTTTCTAAGCCAAATCGCATGGCAGACACTTGATGTTGCCGCAACATATTCAGCTTCACAGGTAGATAGTGCTACGATCGATTACTTTTTTGAGCTCCAGGTGAAAGCTATGTCGCCCAAGTAAAACACATATCCAGTCGTACTTTTTCTGTCATCACTATTTCCACCCCAATCGCTGTCACTATATCCAACAAGTTTGAATTCATTAGTTGATGAATAGACTAAGCCATAATTAAGCGTACCTTTGATGTAGCGAAGAATTCTCTTTGCAGTTTTTGTATGGGTCATGGTAGGTGTCTCCATATAGCAACTGATGAGCCCAACTCCAAAAAGGATATCTGGTCTTGTGCACGTCAAGTATCTTAGACTTCCAACAAGACTCTTAAAAAGTGTTGTATTTACTTTTTCACCTTCATCATTCTTCGACAACTTGATTTCGCATTCGATGTGGGTGCATATGGGTTTACAGTCCTCCATATTGAATTTCTTTAGAATTTCTTTCGCATATCCTTCTTGTGAGATGAAAATGCAGTCCTCCATTTGCTTTACCTCTATCCCAAGAGAGTAGGCCATGAGGCCGATATCCGTCATCTCAAATTCTTGAGCCATGACCTTCTTAAACTCAGTGATCATACTTTGATTATTTCCTGTGAATATAAAATCATCTTCATACAAACAAACAAGCAAAATATCTCCTTTCTCATTTACTTTTATATAAAGGGCATTTTGTAAAGTTATTTTCTAGAAAATACTTGTCAATTCTACTATGCCATGCCCTTAGAGCCTTTTTCAACCCATATAAAGCCTTTTTTAGTTTCAAGACTTTACCTTCATAGTCTTTCTCTTGGACACCCCAATCCCAAGCTCCTTCTTCATCAAACTCGATATCTCTACTTATGGTGATCTTCTCATTGCTTGGATTATACAACTTGTAGCCTTTAGAGCGAGAGTCATAGCCGATGAAGACATACCTTTCACTTTTGTCATCTAACTTGGACCGTTTTTGATCTGGTACATGAGCATATGCAATGCTTCCAAATACTCGTAAGTGAGAGATGCTGGGCTTTCTTCCACTCAATGCTTCTTGTGGTGTCTTATTCCACACACTTCTAGAAGGTGATCGGTTAGACAGATACACGGCGAAATTAACAGCTTCAGCCCAAAGTTCTTTGGGCAATCTCTTACTTTTGAGCATGCAGCGTGCCATGTTAAGAATGGATCTGTTCTTTCTTTTGGCTACTCCATTTTGTTGTGGAGAGTATGAAACTGTCAATGGGCGACGAATTCCATTCTGCTCACAATATTTCTCAAACTTTTGGAGGTGAACTCTCATCCTCTATTCGATCTCAAGGCTTTTATACTATATCCGCTTTCTTTTTCAACAAGAGCTTTAAACTTCTTAAAAGTTTCAAAAACTTCCAATTTTTGTTTCAGAAAATAGACCCAAATCTTTCTACTGAAATCATCAATAAAAAGAACAAAATAATTACTCTTACATAGAGAGCTTAGATTAATTGGCCCACAAACATTGAAGTGTACAAGTTCTAGCTGCTTCTTAGCTCTTGTAGATGCTTCTTTTGGAAAACTTTTCTCGAATGCTTTCCAAGTAAGCATCCTTCACATAATTGATCCGCATGATTTATTGGAGGCAAACATTTCACCATTTTCTTCTTACTCAACAACTTTAAGCCTCCAAAATTAAGATGCCCAAATCTCAAGTGCCAAAGCCAAGATGAATCTTTAAAACAAGTTTTTAAGCATTTAGCGACATCATTTTGAATGCTTAACGCAAACATTCTATTTCTTGTCATAGGGACTTTGACAATCAAATTTTCTCTTTGATCTCTTATTGAAAGACTATGATCTTTCAAATGAATATCATAGCCTTTCTCTAAGAGTTGTCCCAAACTTAAATGTTATTCTTCATATTGGGCACATAATAGACATTTGAGATAAATTGATGCGTATCATTTTTCAAGCGGATCAAGATTTTACCTTTTCCTTTTACTAGGATCTTGGATTCATCTCCAAAGGTAATGTTGCCTCTTACTGATTCATCAAGCCCAACAAACATGTTTTTTCTTCCTAACATATGGTTGCTTGCTCCTATATTCAAATACCAAGTATTCTTTTCTCTGCTCTCTTCACCTTTGTAAGCCAACAGTAGTGCAGGATCTACTTCACTTTCCCGACAAGCGTAGTTGGCTTTCTCCTCAACTTGGTTAGTAATATTTCTACATTCTGAAGCATAGTGACCAAGTTTTTGACAATTGTAACATTTAATTTGAGATTTGTCATACCTTGGTCTTTCATTTTGCCTCGTACATTTTCCTCTTCTGCAACCTTTGGTAGAAAATGAACTTTATCTTCTTTCCTCCTTGTAGAATGCAATTCTTCCTCGATCTTGGCCTGGTCCTCTTCCTCTTTGGCTTTTTCTACTGTTGAACCTTTCTTCACCCTCGTTCAAAATGAGCTTTGTTTGAAGAGCTTGCTCCAATGACTCTTCATTCACCTTCTTCCTTAGTCTTTCCTCATGGACTTGCAAAGATCCAATGAGTTGATCGACACTCGTACTATCTAGATCTTTAGATTCCTCAATGGCTACAACTATGTAGTCAAATTTAGAATCTAAAGACCTAAGTATCTTCTCAATTACTCTAGTGTCGTTCAACTTTTCTCCATTCCTTTTTAATTGATTCAAAATAGCTAATACTCTAGAGAAATAATTAGAAATTGAATCTGATTCTTTCATATGTAAAGCTTCAAACTTACCTCGAAGTGTTTGAAGTCGAACATTTTTCACCTTCTCAACTCCTTTGTGGGAGTTTTGCAAGATCTCCCATGTTTCCTTACTCGTAGTAGCACAAACTACTTTCTCGAATATGCCTTCATCTAAGGCTTGATAGATGAGGGTGAGCGTCTTCTTGTCCTTCTTCCTTGCATCCTTCAAACTATCTCTTTGTGCTTGGGATAGAGCAACCTCGTCTTGTGGCTCCGTGTAGCCTTTCTCTACGATCTCCCATGCATCTTGCGATCCGAGTAATGCTTTCGTCCTTATGCTCCAATTGTCGTAGTTATCCTTGTTGAGTTGGGGGACTTGAAAAGGAATCATCCCACTTGCCATTTTTCACAAAAACCTTAGGGTTCTGATACCAGTTTGTTGGAGGAAAGATGAGTTTACTAACTTGGATTAGCTAAAGCTTTTAAGAGGACAACACTAATAGGAAGAAGGAAGTGAAAAAAAGAAAACTTGTATTTCTCAAATTCAAGACTTTACACACTTTTTGGCTTGTTACAAAATGGAGGGCACTACTCATTTATATAGTGTTTACAAGAAGATTCTAGTCCACACATTTTCTAGAGACACCTAGACCACACATCAAGATATTTTCCTAGAATTCTCTAGATATTCTTTACATATCTTACTTAGATATTTATATAAATTTTTCTAAATAATGCTTCTAGAAATGCTAGGCATGTTGAACCTTTTAATTGATTTGGGCTTATAAGCAAAATTCTTAAGCCCATATTATTTCGTCCAAAAATCAAGTTTACTACTCAACAAAAATGATGTGGGAGATAAAAATAATGAAAAACATAGTGATATTTGTATAAATATAAATTTGTAATTTTCGCAAGTTTAATTGTGTTCAACTAACTTAAAATGTCTGCGTCCGCCATTGAATACCCTTTTGGTCGAGGATGCATTAGAATCAAGCTGCATGTGATCCAAAAGATGTGATTAAAGTTTTCGTGAAGATAATAATTAGGTCGTTGACATGGAGAAAATGTGAAACTATTTAAAGTTTTTAATACTGTTATTGCAAAGAATTCTGCAAAGATCTCTCAAATAATTGAATAGAGAACTGTACATAGTTACACATGCTATGAACCAATCACGAATATTTCAATGTGAACTATCTCATTATTGTCCCCATGAAAACCTTTATGCATATCTTGTGAAGGTATCATGTAAAAAGAATAATCCATGTAGGAAGTAGTAGTTCCTATTAAATCCTATAAGAAAAATTCGAAATGCAAATCGGTTAACATTTTTTATTTCTAATTGGCACAATGAGCACCCAATTGAACATGAAGATCAATTTATTTATTATATATAGAGATAGACAAAAATGAAATGCACAATATAACAAAATGATTTTATGACAATCAATCGACGCCAAATTTGGTAATTTTTTTATTATCCTTATAGAACATATCCATGCCTACAGTACAAAGAAAGTATTGTTAATGTAGGCAGTGAGAGAAGTTTTCGATCATTGGAAAAAAAAATATACGGATTTTTATCAAATTCTTATTAAACTCAACTCTCAGTACCTCACTTTTACAAATCGAACGTCTCTTATTCGAATAGTCAAAGTTAGTAGGTCAAGTGATATGCAATATATGTACAGTATTTGACAAAGAACCACCTTTACAAGATTTAAGGATTGTTGTTCCAAATAAAGAATTTGGGTAAGAGAACAAAAATTGTTGTGCTACTGCTCTATTGAAGTAATAGCTTTGGAAAATAAGTTTTAAAGACGTGAATGAGTTCCTAGTTGAAGCTATTTACTGAAATAGTTATTACCCAACTGCAAATGAACTCATTTAACTTTTGCGAATGAAAATTATTTTTAAAAAATATTACTTAAGTAGCACAAAAAAAGAATGTTTTGTGCTGTCTTATCTAAATTTTTTCACCTGACGAGTATTGATCAAATCTTGTAAAGTTAGCCCTTTGTGACCTCTTATACAAATTTTACATACCACCTTACAGCCTAACTTCGACTATTTTGACGAGAGACATTTGATTTGTAAAAGCAAGGTATTCAGAGTTGAATTTAATAAGGATGTGATATAAAATTAGTTGGGTTTATGATATCTTACCTGATTATGGTACACCATTTCTAGTCCCAGGTACAGCAAGATTAATTAGCTTATTGCATAAGGCCACAGAGCATCAAACCATGATTTGAAAGGAAAATTAGTTGAAGGCATGTAGATATAGAACAACATGGAGTATTCATGCTTAAATACTATAGTAGGACTCCATCTTTTGTGATATGAAATAAAGCATCTGAAGATGGATTGATGGGAAGGAACTTATTGATCATCTTTTGAGATACTATCGATCAAGAATGAACTGTATAATCGATGAAGTAGAATGATGAACCTGCTTACTATGTATTGCTTTTCAAATTCCTTGACAGATTTAACTTAGAAAGTATTTCGTCAATATATGTTGGTGAGCTGAAGACATTTAAAAATGTGACAAGAAGCAAGTGAATCATAGTTGGTTTAATTGTAGGGATAAGTATAATGTGTTAGGGTATCTTATCTAATCTAAAGGATTGGCAGACATTTATTGGACGTAAAGAGTATTTGAAGTTTGCACACGTAATGAACTCAAATATAACAGTCTTCAAACGAGAAATCTAAAAAATAAAAATTTACGAGACTAACCAAATGCAATATATGGGAGGTTCCTCATCATAATGAGGAGTATCTTCCACAAAGGAAAGCATAAAATGGTCTATAACTAAAGCTCCATCAAGTGAAAAATATTTACATTGAAGCATATTAAACATTGTATTCATTGATCAGAACAATTAGCCCATGTTTGAGCCACATTCTAGGAAAAATGCATCTTTCATATCAAATCAATGGAAAATGTGTAGTTAAAAAATAAGGAAAAGTTTTAGATTTACGCGTAATATTATTTTATTGAAGAATGTGTGGTTGAAATGATGTCAAATCACCGTTAAAAAATGTATTTTTTCGAAAATAATGTGGATCAAACAAGCCCTTAGTTAAAGATCTTTAGTTCAACCTTGGAACATGCTAAGCATCACACGAACATTAAAAATAACAATGCAGAAATTTTTCTTACTAACCTTCATTTTTGCTTCAGATTCCATCATTACTTAGCTTAAATGAGACAGATATAACATCGGCTTCGCTCAGATTTCCACAGGCCTAAATAAAACTCTAAAGCAAAGACATAAGTATATATTATCTGAATCAACTGTCCTCAAAAGCATGAAAAAAGACTACACTAATAAAGAGTATAAATTGATGGATAGTACTCTTTAAATTATTAAATATTTATGACAATTGTGGTATAAGTAGAGTCAGAGGGGATGCTTAATTTCAAATTTATTCATTTTATATTTTTCAAACCAAAATTATATAAATTGGTGTTTTAAGATGAGATGTTAAAACCCGAGATAATTTCTTTGATTAACAGTAGTTATGACGCATGAAATTAGACATGACCAGCTGATGGAAGAAAGTAGTATGCTAATAGTTTTTAACATGTAGAATATTGATGTTACCTGGACTAACAGGAGCAGTCCAAGAAGACAAACGAGAACTAACCGATAATTTTCTACATAAACTAAACCACCAACCATATGTACTCATACAATCATCTCACATGAAATAAGCAGAATGTTAAAATATTTCGATTTAATGGGAAAGAATGCATCATAACAAATAGTACATGGCATGCCATAAGTGAATAGTGGTTCATATATCTTAATATAACTCAGTTTAATTTTAAACGGCATTTTGCGATAACATTTAATCTCAAATAAAATAAAGAGTACATATTGGAAAGCAAAAGGTAATTTAGTTCCACCCCCCACCCCCCCCCACCCCCAAAAAAAAGTACTCTAAAATGATATCATTGCTCATCAAGGCGGATTACTGGGATACAATAATACGGGTCAGGAATGATTGTTTCTTTCTTAACTTTCCTTCAAAGCTGCAAATATCACATTAGCAACTACTAAGTTGCAAATATTACTAGATAGTTTTAATTTGCCAACCTGTGTAGGAATGACTAGATGCCACATCCGCAGCCAAACGCTACATCGAATGGAAAAAAGAATTATTGGCTCAAATACACACATTCCATTCATCGGCGAAGAATAAATCGGCCCTACCATGGTTGCTTATCATTGATGCACAAGCAGTAGGGACTGTTGCGTGTTATCACACCTGTCCTATCCACTTGGGCCCACTACCATGGTTGCTTATCATTGATGCACAAGCAGTAGGGACTGTTGCGTGTTATCACACCTGTCCTATCCACTTGGGCCCAGTGGGCCACTCATCCTGATCCACGTGGCATTCCTGCCGAGGTGGCCCACATTGTCGAGGTGGGTTACACCCGAACTGCTTCTAACCGAGGCCCATGCCCGAGGCGTGGAAGCTTTTAGTGGTAGCTGAGGTCCTCGAATGGACGAAGCCCCGAAGTTGATGCGCGAGCTTCAACCACAAGGAAACATCCTCCATGGTCACTTCTCCCAAGGGATCGCCTGCACAGATTTTATTCGAATTATTGATGGAATGTTTGTCATAAGCATAAATGTCAAGTCTTGTCACTAGCATGGAGGTCCTGCACAAACAATAAATGCGCCGTAAGCTAGCAAGTCAAATCCCATGTCTATGAACAGACATTTAAACTGAGGAGATGAGGCCACGTGCCACTTCATCCAAGGGCCCCCATTCCATATGTATCACTATAAATACCCCCATTGTATAATGTCGAAGGACTAATGCAAGAATCAATACAAAAGACTACATTTGCTCAACTCTCTCAGTTACTTGCAATATATAAATCGAAATTATACACTTTTACACATACATTTACGAGCACCGGCTGGTAATTATTGTACAATCGAATTATGAACAACTCGCCGGATTCCGAACGTCACCGTCCCGCATCGTTGGGCTACTCCCACGCCCCTTTGAATCGCTTATTTTAGACCGTCCACGTGTCTTAGCGTGTTGGACATTCGTCCACGCAAGCGCGGGTGGGACTGGCATCTGTTGGCGCACTTTTTGGGGTCAACAGATTGGCGCCGTCTGTGGGAAGCTATACCATAATCACGAGCAACATTGTGGTAAAAGCTTGCTGAAAAAATATTTGGGCAACCCCCCTTGAAAAAGGATTTGTTCTCGAAAGAGAACAGGAGGAACCCCTACCACTTGGAGAAATCTAAGTTTGATAAAGGAAAAAATGAGTTCTAACGAAGATACTCCCCCAAGGAGGGTAAGAGAAAATACGAATGTGCCTTCCCAGCCTGCTGCCCCAGCAGCTCGGCAGAGGCTCCA